CTCGAGGGACAATAATGTGCGAAGCGTTAAAGTGAAAACAAGCACATCATCATTGGAAAGACCAATCAACAAGATCGTGCTGTTGGAAGCTGCAGCAGAAGAGAAGAAGGACTAAAGGAAGAACTCTCACAGAGCTGAGTAGAACTTTATATACATTTTAGTTATAGTTAATATATATGTCTTAACGTTTCAAACATTTCCCTGTTATTTGGTAAAGGCTCTAGTATACTCCGCCTTTAAGGGGCCGGAATGTTAGTTTGAAATTCGATACTAGATAATACGCGCTATTAGCCCTTGGGCACAGAACTTAATTAATCATAAACGAAAAGCGATTCGATCTGAGAGAAAGAGCACTAAATCTAAAGTATAAAAGAAAACCTTATTGGAATTGAAATTTGGCCAAAATCAACGAAAAGAAGTAGAGAGGAAACCAAAGTAAGACAGATTATGACTTATTTTCTTGTTGAACTTGATTATTTGTACCGAAGTATTGAACAGATCCTATTGTCACGATATATTCTCTACATATTAATTTTATAGTTAAATTTAGGCTTATACTTAGTATAGTTTATTTGTTTCTATTTAGTTCGAACTCGCACGATCGATGAACTATTGTAACCGTACAATCTCGAATTAAAGTCTATAGTGTATAGTCTTGTCTATTGCCTTCAAATCAGCGAAGTTCGAATTAACTCCTCAACCTCACGCAACCAGAAATAAAAGCCATCAACCCCCCTGTAGGCCCAAACGAATCTCAAAATCTAAAATCAAGCCTACAGTATTTAGGCCTGATTCCACGAGCGCTTTTTCTCGGCGAAATGCGAATTATTTCGCCTGTTTCTTTTGAATTGCGAGTACTCGAATAAATTATTTCTACTTGATTGCTCACAATTCAAAAGAAACAGGCGAAATATTTCGCATTTCGCCGAGAAAAAGCGCCCGTGGAATCAGGCCTTAAGGCGGCGTAGCCTTGCGCAATGGAATGAGTAGAATGAATGCGGAATGGCATCTGAAAGCAATTATTATCATTATCATCATGCATTATAAATATCATCCTCATTATTATCATCATTATTATTATTATCACTATTGTTATTATTATTGTTATTACTACTATTATCGTTATTACTGGGAGGAAAATTTCGCTGGGAGGGAAATGTTGTTCCTATGATCTGGAAGCATGGCTTTACAATCTTAATATATATATAAAAAATATTCCCCCCAATATCCTTCAAACTTTCAACCGATTACGCTCCAGCCTGTTTTTGGCAAGGTGTTTAGTCATTTCTGATGGATAGCAAATATATAGAAACAAAAATTCAAAAAGGTCTCTGAGAAGAGGTGTCTTGCACGATAGAGCACATTGAACTGTTAACTCACATTATAAACCATGCGCGCAACAATAAAAGGCATTTGATAGTCACCCTACTCGATTTAAAGAACACTTTTGGGGGAAGTTGATCATAATGCAACTCCTTACCACTGTACTACAACACCACCTTATTCTGACTGCTGCAATAGAGGTTATTCAAAACCTGTATGATAATTACACCATTCAGTAGGCACAGATTGATCAAATGCATAGAAGATGAACGTGTAGAGTGTATTGGCTATTCATATTGTGAATACTACACTAGTTGCAACATCCGAAGAACAAAATCAAGCTCTCCTCGACGTATTCACTAAATGACGTAAATGGTGCCGTTGGGCAGGTTTCCAAGTTGGAGTTAATAAATGTTCTCTACATTTGGAATCAACACGCTACACAATTTTAAGCCTTATCTCAAAGTAAATAATCAGATGATTCTTCAGGTTGAGATAAACGAATCATTTCAATATCTAGGAAAGCAATTCAATTATAAAATGGATACGGTCGTAATCGAACAGGAACTAGAATATGATCTTGTGGAATATTTAGAGAAAATTAACAGGCTCCCTTTTGCACCATAGAAATGAAATTCTGATTATCACGAAGTAGGCCTACGTCTACAGTAAACTGCGATGGCGTTTATCAATCTACAAGCTTTCACAGACCTGGGTGGAACGCGCTTAGGTGACAAAATTATCTCTTATGTCAAGCATTGGCTACATTTTCATAAAGGTGCAAACCTGACACATCTGAAGTAAGCTAGCAGCAATTTGGTGTCGGTCTTCAACTGGCTTCTGATGTTTACAGATACTGTAAGCTGTCTATTACGAAAATTCTTTCTAAATCCATCAACAATGATATAAGATGCCTGTTCAATCTTACCAAGTTCAATAATGTGCAAACTGATTGCTTGATTTATAATAACGGCAACTCTAGATCAGCTCTTACGCAGCAAATAACACCGTGGCGGAACACCTCTCGACCCACAAGGAACAGAATACGATCATGAAACACGCTAGACAGGTATAGCATCACCTAGGCACATAACGATGTGGGACAACATCTGCCGCCAAACGCCAAAGAATATATTCCTGTTTGTGAGACGAGCATTGATATATTACCTGCCGAATAATTCAAATCTATGTTGATGGGGGGAAAGAGATAACCCATCTTGTGAATTGTGCTACTCAAACAAACAAACAAACAAACAAACACAACTCCACATGTTCTCCGCCTGCCCGGTTTCTGCAGATGAAGGTCGATATACACTTGGCGACATGCATGATTCAATTCTTTACACTTTGCTTCATTATATCTCAATTAAGGAAATACGGGTTTCGACTCTATGCTGATCTGGACAATTTCGATAACCCTAACAAACTCGTCCATTCATTCCTCCCAGACATTGTATCAGTAAAAGATGACAGAATCTTCATTTTGGAATCGACGTGCTGTTTAATTTTAAAACAAACTCTGAAAAGAGCAGGAACCTAAAAATTAACAAATGTATAGGGATATTCAAAACAATTGCATGCAAGAAAAGGTTTCGACACTGGAGAAAGATTTTCGTTGAAGCTACGACTCTTGGACTTAACTAAACATATAGAAGACTTACGCAGTGTTTTTAAAAACACAAGCATTAATTATAAGACTGAATGATTGAAATGTGTATCGAAGTAGCTATGCGTGCTTCATTTTATATATATAATATATAGGCCTACGTCGTAACAAACAATAGACAACTTCGCCTATTTTAAAGTTCTATTAAATTAATCCCAATAATATTATGTACTTTTATAGCGATGCCTGTAATCTCTGTGAACTGCCCTGTGCATGTCTACAAATGGAGATAAACACATGAGTTAGTTCTGTCAGTTTATATATACTATTAAATTTATATGTATTGTTTATGTTAATACCCATAGTATGACTGCAATAAAGTTTCCATTATTCAACCCGCTATTAATTATTGAACCCGTTATTTCCAAGAATATGTATATCTGGAAATGGTTACATATACCTCGATTAGCGGCAATATCACTTATTTAAAACTTCCGAAATCATGTCTAGGGATTTTGCTCTGCTTCAGATATACAGTATATATATATATA